AGAGCCTACACAAGGCCCACACCCTCAGGGGCAGGGTGGGGCTCCTTCCACCTCCTCACCAGTGCACAGCAGCCCCAACAAGTGTGTGGGACAAGGCAGCTGCTCAGTCAGTTCCTGCCAATTACATCAAGGAATTGATAATCAAGCACACCAACAGTGAAATGAAAAACAGGCTACCCAAGTGAAAAAGAAAAAAATATTCTGTCTTGAGACAAGGTCTCGCTCTGCCACTCAAGCTGGGGTGTAGTGGTGTGGCCACGGCTCACTGTAGCCTCGACCTCCTAGGCACAAGTGATCCTCCAACCTCAGCCTCCCAAGCAGCTGGGACCACCAGTGTGTGCAACCACACACGGCTAATTTTTCGTGCTTTTAGTAGGGACAGGGTTTCACCACACTGCCCGGGCTGGTCTTGAACTCCTGAGCTTAAGTGATCTGCCTGCCTCAGCCTCCCACAGTGCTAAGATTATAGGCATGAGCCACAGCACTGGCCTATTTTGCACATCAATGAGCGCTACCTGGGAAACTCCTGAAGACGATCAATAAGAAGAATTTACCAGCCAGGTACAGTGGCTCACTCCTGTAATCCCACCATTTTCGGAGGGTTCACTCAAGGTGGGCAAGTTCACCTGAGGCCATGAATTCATGACCAGCCTGGGAAACGGTGAGACCCCATCTCCACGAAAAGCTTTAGAATTTGCCAGGCATGGTGGTGCACACGTGTGGTCCTAGCCACTCAGGAGGCTGAGGCAGGAGGATCACGTGAGCTCAGGAGATCAAGGCTGCAGTGAATCAGAATCATGCCACAGCCCTCCAGCCTGGGCAATAGAACAAGATCCTGTCTCTTTGAAAAAGAAAAAAAGAAACGACCATGTCTCTGTGGAATATGGTGACCCAACAGTTGCTTTTAGAGACGGAGGGCACACCCGGGAACATCCCAGTGACCCCCCTGGGCTCCCTCGAGCACAGCAGGTGCGCAGAGCACTGAAGCCCTACCTGTGAGTCTGCAGGAGGAAGGGCCGCCGTGCAGACACCACCAGACCTGGCAGGGCCTGCTCTCTATGGCTCTGCTCCGGCCCACACCATGCAAAGCACATCCTTGCCATAGCAGAGCGAGGAAGAACCCAGAGGGAGTCCCCTTAACACAGGGGTCGGGACAGGCATGAACCCTTCAGTCCACACACCTCAGGTCACACATCAGAAGGCCACGCCTAACATCCCTCATTAAAGGATCAAAATCTCAGGGAAGCCATCTGAGCCTACAGTTTTCTTAATGGCAAATGCATACAGCCTCAACTCTGAACTTCACAGTACCACTGAAGAAACTCCACAGACAGACATGACTATTAGACACACATATGGGGGGTGACCCTCCCTCTCCCCGTTCCGGCCCATGTCCTCCTCCACATCTCCACACTTTCACCTGGGGAGTGACCCTCGCCTCTCCCCCTTCCTGCCCTTCTCCTCCACGTCTCCACATTGTCACCTGGGGAGTGACCCTCACCTCTCCCCCTTCCTGCCCTTCTCCTCCACACTTTCACCTGGGGAGTGACCCTCACCTCTCCCCCTTCCTGCCCATGTCCTCCTCCACGTCTCCACACTGTCACCTGGGGAGTGACCCTCGCCTCTCCCCCTTCCTGCCCTTCTCCTCCACACTTTCACCTGGGATTATTTCCTTTGGAATTCCCTTTAGCACAGGCCTTCTGCTAGGAAATTCTTTCCACTTCTGTATTCAGCAGGTATTTTTAGCTGATTCTTAAAAGGTACTGGTGTTGGGTATGGATTCTTTCCCGGTTGTAGCTTTCCCCACATTTTGGGGGTGTGGAGAGCGCCCCATGCCAGGAGTTCCAGCAGCGAGTCAGGAACAGCACAGGCTCGCTGCCACTTCACTCTGCCCTAAAGGGATTCTGTGGATGAGGCTTCAGCTCAGCATGGAAAGGGTCTCCAGGCTTTGACTTGGAGCCTCTGGACAAGGCTCCTCAGCCCTGCTACTGACACCTTCGCCAAAGCCTCTGCTGTGGGGCCACTCTATGCACTCGGGGTGTTTAACAGGTCCACAAGTGGACCCACCTAGTTACGACAACCAAAAGTGTCTCCTAGGGGCTGGGCGCAGTGGCTCACGCCTGTAATCCCAGCACTTTGGGAGGCCGAGGTGGGTCAATCCCTTGAGCCCGTAAGTTTGAGACCAGCCTAGGTAACATGGCAAGACCCCATCTCTACACAACTTTTTTAAATGTTAGCTGGGCATGGTGGTAAGTGCCTGTGGTCCCAGCTACTTGGGAGGCTGAGGTGGGAGGACGGCTTGAGCCCAAGGGGTTGAGGCTGCAGTGAGCCGTGATCGCACCACTACACTGGGCAGCCTGGTCAACACAGCAAGATCTTGTCTCAACCAATTAATAAATCAATAAACAATCCATCATTTTCAGCAAAAGGGTTGGTCTAAGTCAGCAGTGCTCATGCAGTGGCCTCATGCCACATGTGGTCAGTCAGTGAGCCTCTGAGACAGCCAGTCCAAAGAGTGGCTCACCCTAAGTGTGACACACACACCAGACTCCAAAGACTTGGTATAAAATAACTCAGTACGTGCTTTTTTTTTTGCTTTTCTGAGATGGAGTCTCACTCTGTCACCCAGGCTAGAGTACACCGGCTTAATCTTGGCTCACCGCAACCTCTGCCTCCCAGGTTCAAGCGATTCTCCTGCCTCAGCCTCCCAAGCAGCTGGGATTACAGGCATGCACCACCACGCCTGGCTAATTCTTTTATTTTTAGTAGAGACAGGGTCTCACCATGTTGGTCAGGCTGGTCTCAAACTCCTGACCTCAAGTGATTCAGCCACCTTGGCCTCCCAAAGTGCTGGGATTACAGGCATGAGCCACCACAACCGGCCATTTTTCTATTGATTACGTGACAATGATATTTTAGATATATTAGACTAAATAAAATATAGTATTCACTTCATTTTTCAACGAGGATGCCAGAATATTGAGGCCTATGAATGTGACTGATGCGCCATTCCTACTGAGCAGCACAGCTCTAATCAGCTCATCTACCCACAGCCGGCAGGGGAGGCTTCAGGCAGCAGTTTCTTAAAAACAAGTAGATTTTCTTCTGTGTCTGCTGCCACAATCCAGGGCATGCACGTGCTCAACAAAAGCCAACAGATCTTGGTTGGGGGGGAGGGGGGGGCGCCTTCCCTATCTAGGACAGCCAGGCAGACATGAAGTCTCCTTTAGTCCCAAAACATTTACAGAGAGAGCCTGTAATTTTTTTTTTTTATTGAGACAGAGTCTAGCTCTGTCATCCAGGCTGGAGTGTAGTGGCGTGATCTTGGCTCACTACAACTTCCACCTCCTAGGTTCAAGGGATTCTCCTGCCTCAGCCTCCCAAGTAGCTGGGACTACAGGCACGTGCCACCACACCCGGCTAATTTTTTTGTATTTTTAGTAGAGACGGGGTTTCACAGTGTTGGCCAGGATGGTCTCCATCTCCTGACCTTGTGCTCTGCCCACTTCAGCCTCCCAGAGTGTTGGGATTACAGGCGTGAGCCACCGCACCCAGCCGGTACTGGTTTCTTTTCAAGCAGTTTCTATGTACGTCCTCATTTCCTCACAATTAGCACAGCAGGGCAGATCCCGTTCAGTGGAGGCCCGGTGATGCCAAGAGTGAGGCTGGCTGGCAGGGGCCGGCTTTGTCAGTGTCATGCTCCCCCAGGCTGAGAGCCATGACTGAGCAAGAAGGTGCCAGGACCCAGCCCTTTCAGCCCAGTGCCACCGCCTCCAACCGGCAACCTGGGCTCCCACACTCCCCAGTGGGCAGGTGGTGGTGACGGTAGATCTGAGTCTCCATCTGCTTCCGCCCTTTACTTTTCACCTGTGTCACTCTCCAGTACATCTTCTGCACACAGCCCCATTTCAGAATCCACATCCTAGAGAACCCAACTTGAGATCTGTGGTTTCCCCATTTTACAGTTGAGAATAGACATGCAGGCTGGGTGTGGTGGCTCACGCCTGTAATCCCAGCACTGTGGGAAGCCGAGGCAGGTGGATCACTTGAGTTCAGGAGTTCTAGACCAGCCTGGCCAACATGGTGAAATTCATCTCTACTAAAAACACAAAAATTAGCCAGTCGTGGTGGCAGGAGCCTGTAATCCCAGCTACTCGGGAAGCTGAGGCAAGAGAATCATTTGAACCCAGGAGGCAGAGGTGAGCTGAGATCGCACCACTGCACTCTAGCCTAGCCAACAGAGCGAGACTCCATCTCAAAAAAGAGAGAGAGGAAAGAAAACACTGGATATTTTCTCAAGCCCTCAAAAAGCACCCATCCCATGAAACTCCAGGAGTCCCCAAGCTGTCTTCTGCCTGTCCCTCCAGTCCTACAGGGGTCAGGCTCAGCCCTCTCCCCGACTCACTGTGGCTGGGTAATTTCAGCTACACCGTGGCTGAAGTATGCCCAGGGAGGTGGGCCAGGCGTCAAACCTGTAAAAATTAACTAAAAAACTAAGGCTTGAAGGATTAACTGGGCTTTCACAAATGTCCCAAGGACTGAAAACTAGATCTCTACAATTCTTCAAGGATGTTCGGGGAAGGCACTCAGCGCACACGGGCTCACAGAGAGGCCGTCCACCGAGGTGGGTCAGCAGCAAGCGTTCGGTGGCGCCTTGCGCACAGCGCCTCCCGTAGCCGGTGTTTGTCCTCTGAACCCCCAGCACACTGGCCTGGTGGCTAAGGCTGCGGCAGGCAGCCAGGCATGGGACCAGTGCGTTCCAGCTCCAGGAAGAGACCAGACACCAGGAGGGCCGCCCCACCTAAGCAGCTCCACACACGCCCTTCAAGAAGAGCAGCCAGCGGCTCCATCCCAAACATTTCCTAATTCTGGCAGAGCCCTGACAGAAACTGAGAACTTCACTCAGGTGTGGGGGGAAGAAAAGACGGTATTAAAAGATCGGGTTCTTACTAGAGAAAATTGACAGCAGGACATTGCGTGGAAAGGTTAAACACACTTACCTTTAAATTTTGATCTGATATTTGCCAGTTCCTTGTTTATCCTCTTTATTTCTGCTTCTTTACTTTTGCCTAAAAAAATAACAAAAAGGCGTTTTTATTTTAACTGATTTCTAAAGAAACACCACTTCCCTGGTAAGACCAACACTCAGAACTCAGGAACGGGATGAAGCCCCCATTTGAAGGCAGGAGAAAAGCCAAAGCAGACACCTGCCTCCAGCCCAGAGCGGCAGGAAGAAGCAGTGGCAGGGCCGGGCCAGGGCCAAGCTGAGGGGCATGCCCAGGTCAGCACAGCCAGGGAGCAAGCCCTGAGCCCTCCGGCCAGCCGCTGCTACCCAGCACCACTTCTAATTCTGCCTTTTCACCAAGTTCGGAACTCAGAATACCTGCTGGACGTCTGCCATAATAAATCATCATCAGCTAGTAATACAGCGGTTTATCCTACAATTGACTTTCACTGCCAGAGGTCCTAAGAGTACACAGTTTTGCTACCGTAGGCTTCCAATTCCCTCTCATAACGTTCACCTCCACAGTTTCTTCCTGGATCAACAGCAGTCGCCAAACAGACGCAGCCTCTGCACACGCAGCATTCCAGATTCAGCTGAGATGTGCCCATGAAATAAGGGCTGGGCCCAGCAGCCTGCCTCCCCTGTCATCATGGACTCAATGTTTCCGTCTCACAAAGCTCGCATACTGAAGCCCTAACCCCAACGTCTACCTGAAGATGGGACCTTTGGTTTAGATGAGGTCATGAGGTGGGCCCTCATGATGGGATGGGATTAGCATGCCTATATGAAAAGTCCCCAACAGACACAGTTAGGTGCCAGTATCATTAATAATATCAGGAGTGCTCCCACCTACAGGCCCAAAGGCAGGCTTCTAGCCAAAGCAGGAAAGACTGATCTATTTACCTATTATAAAATCTAGTTATTCAAAATAGTCTTTCTTTTTGGCTTAACCATCCCCAATGGCAATCAAAATATCTGAATTTACACATTTCAGTTTGATGTCCCTTATCTGAAAGCAGAAGCCCAGGATTTGTAATTTTTGATAGTCGTAAAATGACGGGATGTCACAGCTACAGGTGCCTTGGTCTGCTCGGGCTGCCGTGACAAAATAGCCCGGACTGGGTGGTGGAAACAGAAGTTTATCTCCTGAGTACTGGCAGCTGGAAGTCTGTGACCCATGTGCCGGCGGTGGTGGAAACAGAAGTTTATCTCCTCACAGCCCCGCGGGCTGCTTTCTGGTGAGGGCTCTCTTCCTGGCTTGCAGACCACTTTCTATGTGCTCACGTGGCCTTTCTTTGATGCACGCTTATGAAGAGAGCACTCACTGTCATCTTCCATTAGGAACCCACCCTTATGACTTCACTTGACTTGAATTGCCTCCTAGAAGCCCGATCTCCAAATCCATCACCCCGGGGTTAGAGCTTCAGCATATGAACTGGGTGGAGCCAGGGAGGCAACTCAGTCCATAGCAAGAGGGAACCTTCAAGGCAGACTGATGCATTTGCTCCCTCACTATCCACGGAGCACCCACAACTGCCCACACGCTGTGCTGGGAACCAAGGCACAAGGACAAGCAAACACAGACACGGTCTCAGCTCCCCCACAGAAGACACAGCCTGGCAGAACACCGTCACTGATCAAGCAGTCGCATGCCTATTTAATTACCATGTACCGTGTAAGGAAAGCACCGTGTAATGAAACTAGGCAGGATTATGACAGAGGGAGAAAGTCTGGGCTGCAGGGCAAACAGTTGTTGGTAGGAACATGAGGGTTTTCCTACAAAATCTGACAAGTCCCCTTTCCTAATATCCAGTTGTGGTATCATATGTACATACAGGCTTTCATCCACAGTTCCCGGCTCATAACCCCCCGCCCCCCGCCAATCTTATTTTTCCCCAAGGCAGGCCCTAAGACCAACAATAGACTCTATCCTCCCCCCACCTTTCTGTCTTGGAGCTGGCCATAAGTAAATTCTCTGACCTACTCTGTCTGACTGTGGGTCACAAGACCCCCATTTCAGAAGGGGCCGTGCCGCACGCCCTGGAGGAAGGAATGCCGCAGAGAGGCTGGGAAGAATCTGCACAGACAGGCCCTGCTGGGTTCAAACCACACCCTTCCGGTCCAGTCCCATTTGTACACAGCTGTCACTCATGCCTATCCAATGAAGTCTCCATAAAAGGCCCAAGAGGACAGGGTTTGGGGAGTGTCCGGACACCTAAGCACCTGGGGGCTCCTGGAGGGACATGGAGCGGCCGCACCCCAGGCATCACTTCATCCCATCCTTCGTACTAGCCTTTACGATCAAATAAACATGTTTCCCTGAGTTCTGTGAGCCACTCTAGCAAACTAATCGAACCCAAGGAGGCGGTGGTGAGATCTCCATTCACAGCCTGTAGCCCAAGAGCACAGATCACAGCATGAGGCTTCTGACTAACATCAGAAGTAGGGGGCAGTCTTGGGACTGCCCTGTGAGATTTGACACTATCTCCAGGTAGACTGTGTCAAAACTGAATTGGAGGACACCCCGCTGGTGCCCGCTGCAGAACTGATTGCTTGCTTGCTTGCTGATGGGGAGAACTCCCCACATATTTTGGGGTCACAGAAGTCTTCTGTGTTGTAGTGGGACAGCAGAGGAATAATAGCTCGAGGTCTTTTCTCAGCTCACACCCATGAAGTTTGGGAATTCTCCATTGTACAAAAGAGGCAAAAAGCACATTAGACGTGACAAACTTCCAGTACACCCTAAATCTACTGCTAAATGGCCCAGGCTCAACAAACACTCACATGTAAGTCACAAGCCAGGCATGGGTAGAGAGGAGACCACATGGAGCCTAGCTCTACCTGAACCACCTGGGAAAACTGAGCCTAAAGAGTACAGGGGATTTTAATAGGGACACACGTTTATCAAGTACTGTAAAAACACAGCTATGAATCACACAGGGTAAGGTGAGTTGTGTGCAAAAAGTTTGTGCACATTTAAGTCACTTTTTATTCTTATTTTTTATTAAAAAAAAAAACGAAAGCCAGGTGCGGTGGCTCACGCCTGTAATCCCAGCACTTTGGGAGGCTGAGGCAGGTGGATCACCTAAGGTAGGGAGTTCAAGACCAGCCTGACCAACATGGAGAAACCCCATCTCTACTAAAAATACAAAAATTAGCAAGGCCTGGTGGCACGCCTATAATCCCAGCTACTTCGGAGGCTGAGACAGGAGAATCACTTGAACCCAGGAGGCAGAGGTTGCAGGGAGCCAAGACCACACCGCTGTGCTCCAGCCTGGGTAACAGAGCAAGACTTCGCCCCAAAAAGAAAAAGAAAAATAGAGACAAGTTCACCAGGTGCAGTGGCTCACGCCTCTAATCCCAGCACTTTGGGAGGCCGAGGCAGGTGGATCACAAGGTCAGGAGTTTGAGACCAGCCTGGCCAACATGGTGAAACCCCATCTCTACTAAAGACACAAAAAATTAGCCGGGTGTGGTGGCAGGCACCTGTAGTCCCAGCTACTCAGGGGGCTGAGGTAGGAGAATCGCCTGAACCCGGGAGGCAGAGGTTGCACTCCAGCCTGGGTGACAGAGCAAGACTCTGTCTCAAAAAAAAATTAAAATTAAAATTAAAAAATAGATACAAGTTCTCACTATGGTGTTCGGGCTGGTCTCAAACTCCTGGGCTCAAACAATCCTCTCGCCCTGGCCTCCTAAGGTGCTGGAATTATAGGTGTGGGCCACTGCACCTGGCCTTAAGACACTTTTTTAAAGCAATACTGAAGCTGACTACCAAAAAGCCCTTTTCAAGTGAGTCTTTGCTTTAAGGATCTACAGCTGAAGTAAACGCTTCTGCAGCAACCCACCCACATCAGAACACGGCACAGGCAGCCCCGCAGCGACCCGCCCACATCAGAACACGGCACACGCAGCCCCGCAGCGACCCGCCCACATCAGAACACGGCACACGCAGCCCCGCAGCGACCCGCCCACATCAGAACACGGCACACGCAGCCCCGCAGCGACCCGCCCACATCAGAACACGGCACACGCAGCCCCGCAGCGACCCGCCCACATCAGAACACGGCACACGCAGCCCCACAACGACCCGCCCACATCAGAACACGGCACACGCAGCCCCGCAGCGACCCACCCACATCAGAACACGGCACACGCAGCCTGCCAGGCCCGGTGCTCACAGGTCCAGAGGACAAGAGCTCCTCCCTGCCCTCAGCAGGCACAGGCCCTAACTCGACCACGGCTGCTTCCAAACCTGGTCTTGCCTTCCCCGACAAGACAACCTCCCTCCTGCAGAGCAGCGTGCATCTTTTACCATACACTTGCTGATAAATACGGGTTAACATCTGCTGAACTGAACACTCCTTTGAGTCAGTCCTATCCTAGAGAACTCCAGATGGACAGGTGGTCACAACAGGAAAATCAAGTACCTATGTGGTGGCGCCCCACCCGGCTCCCCCTCCCAAGCACTGCCCCAGGTGCAGGGCACAGAACAACAGCTTCTGCCCCGGGGACCTTTAACAAGACACAGCCATACCCAAACCTCCTGTCCAGTCAGTCAGTCTTCCCAGCCCCGAAAGCTGCTCACAGCAGTGACCCCTGGGCAGGCCGGAGTCTCAGATCCCCACTCCTCCCTGTATGGTGCCTGCCCAGTGGACGACTCTGTAAGGAAGCAGGGCAGCAGGCACAGGAGGATGCTGGCAGCCTGACGCCCCTCAGGAAGGCAGGCTTTTTGGACCTGGCTGAGTCATGGGAACAGTCTTGGGAGCTTCTGCCACACAAAACCTGCAGGCGGCTTCGCACAGCTGGACTGCGCATGGGTGAAGCACTCTGCACTGGGTGCGGTGTGCCATTGTGCGTGTGCACCAGTGTGTGTAGCTGTGCACTTCTCACAAAGGAGCACACAGGTCGGTGCTGACAAGTCTCAACAGCGACCCTGTGCTCTCTCCCTGGCAGGTGCCCTCTACCCACCCAAACACCAGGGAAAGAAACCACTCCGAGGCGGGACTTGTGTTGTCCAGAATCAACAGAGCTCAGCTCTAAAGCAGAAATAATAAAAACCTGAGG